CACTTGTGAAATGTTAAAAAGAACGCCGACTTACCCTGGCCATCGACTTCACGGAAGATTTTACCAGCCGGGTGTCAGGGACGTGGTCACTGCCAACCACGTCGCCCGTATCCCCAAGATTTTGATCTCTGACAACGGCACCCAGTTTGACGGTCGCGTATTCAGAGGATTTTGTGAAGATCTGAAGATAGAATTCTACAACTCCACCCCGGCCTACCCGCAGTCCAATGGTCAAGCCGAAGCATCAAACAAGACTATACTGGATGGGTTGAAGAAACGGCTGGAAAAGGCCAAGGGAAAGTGGGCTGAGGAATTGCCCAGTGTACTTTGGGCATACCGAACAACCCCGCGACGTTCTTTACCAGCAGAATCAAGATACTTGCCGTTGGAGAAGCTTGCCCTGGCCTTGATGATGGCTTCAAGAAAATTGGCGCACTATTTCTACGCCCATACCATTGTCGTACTAACTGAGTTTCCCCTCAAGGCCTTGTTTGAGCGCGCAGACTTTTCAGGCCGAATTTTAAAATGGGCGGTCGAGTTGGGGCAGTTTGATGTGAAGTTCCAGCCGCGCACCGCAATCAAAGCCCAAACCTTGGCCGATTTTGTTGCCGAGTTCTCACCTGGCACTCATCCGGTATGCCCGGTCGACATTGCCGAGGCAGATGATGAGACGCACACAATGCCAACCGAGGAACAACCAGCCGATGAAGGTCGCGCCGCGGAGTTAGCGCGCACCATCGAAGTTCCCTCAGTTTGCACGGTAATACCACCCGGCGATGCGATGACGGAGTTGTGTATCACCAACCCATCCACTCTGTCCGGTACCGCATCACCAAGGGGGGAAGAAATGGTTCCACACAACTCAGAACTTGATGATTCGCCTACGGACTTGGGCAATCTAAACCGACTTGCTGAGTCTGGTGCCGAATCATCAAGGGGGGAAGGAATGGTTCCAGACAGCTCAGAACCTGCGGCCGGCTTCACACCGCAACCTGGTGATTCGCCTACGGACTTGAGCATTACAGACCAACTTGCTGAGTCCGGTGTCGAATCACCAAGGGGCACTGAATTTGAACCGGTCAACACCGAACTGGACACCGCGTAGCCGAGCAGTTGTGACCCCATTGCCCTTCGCAACTCTCAAGACCCATCTGACGGCTGGAAGCTTTTTGTGGGGGACATGTGGAAGCTTTTTGTTGATGGAGCGTCCAACCGCCATGGTGCCGGCCTAGGTATTGTTCTTATATCCCCGGACGGCCTAACCATTGAGCATTCTATCACACTTGGCTTCCCGGCGTCTAACAACGAGGCTGAGTACGAAGCGCTTCTCGCCGGGCTCAAGAGCGCGATTCAAATGAATGCTGCCGAGCTCCTAGTATACAGTGATTCCCAGCTTGTGGTTAACCAAGTTTCAGGGATTTATGAAGCGAAGGACGATAGGATGGCGAAGTACCAAGCTCTGGTCCGGGACCATATCAAGAAGTTTGAGGCAATCAGAGTCCAACGGATTGGCCGGGAAGAAAACAGCCGGGCTGATGAACTCGCCGGCCTCGCTTCCATGGTCAATAGTACGTCTCCAAACCCATTGTTGATTGACTTTCTTCCGCGGCCGAGCATTGAAAGCGCCGGGCAGACGGATGTACTCTGCGCTGAGCTAGGCCCTTCATGGATGGACCCCTTGATCTTGTTCCTCAGAGACCGGACTCTTCCAACAGACAAGAAAGAAGCGCACAAAATCCGGGTGAAGTCAGAGCGGTTTTGGCTCTCTCCATCTGGCGCGTTGTATAAGAAGTCCTTCACCGGTCCTTATCTCAAATGCGTGCACCTGCATAGTGTGGAGGCCTTCTTGTTTGAAATTCATGAAGGCATTTGTGGCAGCCACATCGGGGGCAGGTCCTTGGCCTACCGAGCTATTTCGCAGGGATACTGGTGGCCGTGCATGCAGGCCGACGCGCAAAAATATGTCCGCAAGTGCGAAAAATGCCAGAAATTCGCCCATCAGATCCACCAGCCTGCCAGAGAACTTCTTCCCCTCACCAGTCCTTGGCCTTTCGCCATGTGGGGGCTAGATATAGTGGGACCACTGCCAACAGCACCGGGCAACCGGAAATTCTTCATCGCGGCCACAGATTACTTCACAAAGTGGGTTGAAGCTGAGCCCTTGGCAACCATCAAAGAGAAAGACGAACATTGAAGTCAAAGTTCTCATGGGATGAAGAGTGTGACCAAGCTTTGGCCGAGCTAAAGGATTATTTGTCTTCTCCGCCGATGTTGGTTACACCAGAGCCCGGTGAGGAACTCTACCTTTACCTTGCCGTCTCCCAGCACGCAGTCAGTGCGGTGCTAGTCCGGGCCGAAGGAATCAAGCACCTCCCAATTTTTTACGTAAGTAAGACCCTTCTGCC